GTGTGAACAAGGTAAGCCTCAACTGACACTCCGTACTGACAGAAACGGTTTAAGCATGTGTGAACAATAACGCCGCCTTAAAAGCATGCTCTCAATGTCAGCCTTCGCTCTGGAGTTTCATTCATTCAAGTATTTTAAAGCAGCATGGTGGCCGATAACAACGCTGGCTCAATTTAGTCTTTATACACGTTTAAACGTAGGACCAATTCAAACCACTGATAATGATTGTTTTCCAAGTTATTCAAACCGGCACTGTGGCACATGTGTGAGCACGGTAAGTGACTTTTGCAAACTTTTTTCTTCACAAATGTCATAAACTCCTGAAATCAATAAACTCTCTAGCAGAGAAAATTAAACAGTTGACAGCAACTACCAGCAATTTTCAATTTTACATCAGTCAAGTCAAATAAATACTCTCACACAGAAAACACAATGCATTATATATGACAAGAACTTTACTGAATTTGCATAGATATTACATTAGCAGAGCATTATATACTTACCATGGAAGAGAGCCACAGATCTTGATAATGATAGAATTGCAAAGACCACACCCACAATTATTGCCATCCAGTTAGAAGAAGTGGTGTAATGCTTTGGTTTTTGGCCAAAAAATACCAAGTGGTAGATTTTCTGCACAGATGACAGAGTCACTGCTCCACAAAGACAAAAAAACGGGTAGATTGGAAAGAGAAACCGTTCTTCCTGCAAAATGAAATAAACACAAAAGTTAAATCTAGATATAAAAGAAAAAATTTCAATGGAAGAAATTACTATAATGATGGCCATAAAGGTAGAATAGTACTGTACTCATCTGATTTAGTGCCCATGCTCTGCCACTTTTGGGACATTTCTATTTTTGGGGTTATGTTCGGCTTAGCACCTATTCTCTCCAAAAGACCCAAATTTGATTGTCTAATCATAAAACCTCATCATTGTTTGACATTTCTGAATACCAGTAACCGAAGTTATAGAATACAGCATGGATGTCAACCGCCGTGAATACGTAGGTCTGTAAACATCAGTTTTTAAAAAAAAATTCATGCTGTTTTTATGCCAAAATTATATATTGACATCGATAATTCACTTCTGAATTGTGTTAGCAGAATGCCTTCTTGAATTCCTGTAGAATTGTGTTAGTACAACACAGCATTTAATTGGTTAATAAAAGGCTTGATCTATCAGGCCAAAGGAAATCATGATTGTGGAAAATGTTTCGCATCAAGAGTTTGCATACGATCGAACACATTCAACAATGATGAAGATTTTGACATTGACTGTGTTCTTGGTGGCACGTAATTAATATAATTAATATTGTAATAAAATGTGCCTATTGTTTTTGACCATTTTTGTTTCTTTATTATAAAAGTGTTGTTGAAACATTGTTGTTTATGATGCAACTTAATTCACAATTCTATTTGCCCCCAAAAACGTGATATTGCCCTCAATCTGTCCCATGGTAAACTAAAATTGTCATTTGCACACTTCATCACGGGGGGTGCTTTGCTAAGAGCCCACCCCCTAAATCACATGATTTTTATAGCTGAGTAACCTGGGCACTGAGTCAGACAAGTATGATATACATGTATATACTGACATATGTTAATGCAATCTGCATCTTATAGTTGCATTCCCACTTATG